GTCAAACCTGTGGATTTTGAAGGTTCTTCTCCTGAGGGACCGTCGCCATAGGTATTGATCTGCTTTCCAGGTGTCGTCTGGAGGGAAGAAACATAGGAGGGAGTTGTCTTCTGCGGGTGGGAACGAGGTGCTGTGTGGAAGCCCAGCGGCTGTGGAGGTCCCGTCACCTGGAGAAACAGGTGATAAAAAAAAAAGATAGAAAATAAGGCGGTTTACCACAAAACTGCCTCAGCGAGAAGGCAGTAATACCTCATGATCAGCTGTATCGTCACCGCTGCGTGCCACAGGTGTGATTTTTATTTTCAATTTATTTTATTCAAAGAATCGTAGAATGGTTAGAGTTGGAAGGAACCTTAAAGACCATCCCATTCCAACCCCCTGCCCTGGGCAGGGACACCTCCCACCAGCCCAGGTTGCTCCAAGCCCCGTCCAACCTGGCCTTGAACACCTCCAGGGATGGGGCAGCCGCAGCTTCTCGGGGCAACCTGCCCCAGGGGCTCACCGCCCTCACAGTCAATAATTTCTTCCTCATATCTCATCTAAATCTCCCCCTTTTCGGTGTAAAACCATTCCCCCTTGTCCTGTTGCTCCCCTCCCTGATCAAGAGTCCCTCCCCAGCTCTCCTGTAGCCCCGTTAGGCACTGGAAGGGGCTCTAAGGTCTCCCCGGAGCCTTCTCTTCTCCAGGCTGAACCCCCCCATCTCTCCCAGCCTGTCCTCCCAGCAGAGGGGCTCCAGCCCTCCCAGCATCTTTGTGGTCTCCTCTGGACCTGCTCCAACAAGTCCATGTCCTTCATCTGTTGGGGCCCCAGAGCTGGAGGCAGTATTCCCTTCCATTTTCTGCGATGAAAAGAAATAGGGTATATTGTGAAATCCTGTATCTTGGTATATGTTCACTACAGCTTGTACGCTGTATGTGAGCAAAAATTCCTGAATTAAAAAAACAAAACCCACCGTTGTAATTTCAGCCCTAAAACATCACTTGGAGCCCCAGACTTCTTCATCCCTGACTTCTCAGTCATTGGATTCTTCGTTATGAAAAATATTAAATAACTAGTTGTTTGTGTGACCCATCTAAAACCCAATATCTAAACAACGGGGGCTATTGTTATTTGTCTTACTGAGGTTTAACTACGAGAACGATGATAGATGATTCTGGCAGATACCACGATGTCTGAAAATTTCTGGCAAACAAAATCGAAAAACAAAATCAGAACTGACATGCATTGACGTTCTTTAGATGAGCATTTCTGAGAGCTACAGCAAGACAAGCACAATGTGGAAGGCACACAGCACAGCCACGTGTTATTTGGTATAAATAGCTAAACAATATATAAAAGAAATGCCATTGCCCCACTTTCAAACTATCCGGAATCCGTATTGACAAAAATTGTTATCGGTTGCACTCAGAATACTGAAAATGTCTAACTCATAGTATAGGTACTTAGAAAATTAAACTATCCAGTTATTCCTTGGTTTACATACAGGGCTGTGTTCACTATAAGACTACCAATTTAATTCTCAGAAAAAGAAAGGTCTTCTAGCTATTGTCTTTAAAACTCTTCTGCCCCTTTCTCATTAACCTGGGGGATGTCCTCTTCTGTGGTCATGGAAGATCAGAAGAGCTCACGGTAGCCTGCATTTAAAAGAAAAAAAAACATTCCAGGGTTCCAAAGGCCAATATGGAAAAGCATCGCCAGTAATTATACTTTTGAGGAGAGGAATCCAGTTCAAGGCCCCTGTTTGTTATAGGCATCACATTATAAGAGAAAAAAGAGTTTCTCTCAAATTGTGAAGACTGAACTCAGTCAATGCTATTCAGATACCAACAAGCTGTCAAACATATCTGGAGCACAGGTACTATATGGCCAGCACAGGTGCTGTAACCAGCCGGCCTCTTGGTGCTGCAGCAGGCGCTGAATGTGCCGGTTGGCGGCAGGACCAAAACTTTCTCTTCCTGGTGGTGGTCTAGGAAGCCCCCCATGCCACCACCAAAAATTCCTCTTCCTGGCAGTGGTCTACAAAGCCCTCCATGCCACCACCAAAACTTCCTCTTCCTGGTGGTGGTCTACGAAGCCCCCCACACCACCACCAAAACTTCTTCTTCCTGGCAGTGGTCTACAAAGCCCCCCACGCTGCTGCCAAAACTTCCTAGCTCAACTGATAAGAGTATGGGGCTCAGACCCATAACCCTGGGAATAAGAGTCCTGTGCGCTATCAGCTGAACTGGCTGGGTCCCTGGCACCCGCGTTGGTTCTGTTTTACCTCAAACCAGGACATTTAGCAAGATATATCACTCGTTCTTCACCACCTTCAATCTCTCTGGCTTTAAATCACAGCACCACACCAACACAAATCATCATAAGCTAACAGTGCCATTATATATAAATATATTAAAAAAAAATGATTACTCAAAAAACAAATCCCAAAGCAACCTATAGCCAGAAGAAACTGTTGTCCTCTCTAAGTTAGTTGCTGATGGTAAAAACCAGCATTACACAGCAGTGAGGCGGCTGCAATCTCTGATTAATAGGGATCCCAGTGACATCGGGCACTGACCATAAGCGAGGAAGGCTGGTTCCCCATATTGTTTCCTATGATTAAAAATAAAATTGAAGAACCATCTGCACTGACAAAGTGAGTCTTTGAAGTCTGCTGTGCATGTGTGGTTGTGGTTTATGCCTTTCATTTAACAAAGCCAAAAGTGGTACGTCAGCAGCGGAAGAGTTAATTGGTTGCCGAGTTAGCTACCTATTAGCAGTGCTGAACAGATGCCTCGACCCAGAGAAGGCACTTGCTACAATAATGGTGAGCAGTGGAAAGTGGGAGGACTATAACAAATTAATGCCAACTGAACTCCAGTTTTTTCTTTCCTGGAAATGTGAGGTCAGCCTTGAAAGGTGCATTACAGTGACTTCATATAGGAAGCGAGAATGAGGATGAAGGAGAAATAAAAACAACCAGGAACAAATTACAGAAGGTGACGCATATCAACATGACTCAAAAGAAATACGATAAAGGTTTCAGAAAGTATTATTGGAATATATGATGCCTCATGATGCTGTTTTCCAGGGAATTGGCATTTTGGCAAGGTATATACTGCTCCTTTCCCAGAGAGAAATGTTGCAGTAGTCAAACCTGACGGGTGTTCATAAATTTCTTCGGAGCAATTGGAGAGCTTTTCTTCTACAGTACCCTACAGCGCACAATATCGGCCACCAAACTGAGGAGATAAATGTTTAGGAATTGATTGGTAAAAGTTAAAAAGGGAAAGTGGCTCAGCCCTTGCGTGATGGCCGGGCTGCGACATTTTCCTAGCACATTTTACACAGCTTTGCGGTCCTTTGAACAGATGCAGCTGGTCTCTTGCTCCTTCCTCCCTGTTGCTTTCCTCTCTCCCCCTGCCCGCCCCCAACTAACACAGCACCTTTGTTTAGGGAATATCCACACAGAATGTCTTTGTTTCTGTAGTTTCAGTTTCTGATTGCTTTCTCCTGCGCGCATCCTGCCATGCCACTTGTCTCCAGAGCAAGACAACTCAATGTGAGCAAAAGACATCACGGGTTGCCGCATCAGTTGATATCTCCTTCGCTGGTGTGCAGGGGAAAGAGCAAGAGTGTGTTGAATTAAGTTTTGATCAGTAAACACACACGCATGTGTGAGCTTTGCTGGAAGGAATAGAATTCCTCATTGAAGGTAACGTTACCTTCATGCCTGGTGTTAAGTTGCACGTAATATGTGCAGAAACAGCCGCTTTTTCAAAATAAAATACACAGCAAGGACACTGATACAGACGTCCATTTTAAAGCAAATGATTCCACCTTTATCATTGCCACATTCTTAGCAACATAAGCTCTCTTGCAACGGCACACAGCTGCTCAGGCACCGAATATTCATTAAATGAATTCATACTGGTTTTTTATCTTGGCACTCTGCCCACCGCACATTTTCATGCCAGTGCAAGATTGCTTAGTCATTTGTTCTTTATGTGTCTTATGTGCTTTAAGAAAAGAACCTCAGAGGAGAACGCTTTATAAGGCCTTTTTACTCGTTACACCCAAGTAGATTTCCAGCTTGTCTCGGGTGCTCTCCGAGGCTGGCTTCGTTAGGAGTCAGGCATCTCTCGTGCCATCCAACTCACAAATTTGTTGCCTGGCTATTCTTGTCTTCCCAATACCTTGGCCCAACACTGAGGAGCAATCCTGGACCGAGGGGACGGGGATGCAGAGGTCTTCAAGGCCAAAGCAGAGGAGGAAATTTTAGGAGCAGCGGGCCTTGAGGAACAGGAGACCGTTGTAATTCTTGTGGACCAGCAGGTGATTGAGAAGTACAACCAAAGGGCTTCCCAAAGTATCCTATGGTGCAATCCTTCCCTTTTGTGCCGTTGCTACTGAATACAAAATGTTTTCCCCTTCTTCTGATAGGAATCCGGTCCTAAACCTTTTAATTAATGAACAAAATTACCCTGTCTAATAGATGCAAGGGCAGCTTTTTTTTTTTTCTTCCTTAAATCAGTGGACCTACTCATCCAGGCTCTCAATACCTTTTTGGTTTTTTGCATTTACCTGGGGACAGATACAGCTAACGCAGTCAGGGCTTTGCCTGGTCGTCCACTAGTTTTCTAAAAACTCCGTAAAAGATTTGCAGGACGTCGTGTTTTAAAAAAAACCCCACGGGTCTGCTTTGACACTATATGTTGATTCGTAGCTGAGGAATCCCATCTAGCTGACACCCGTACCTCACTGTTCGCCTCAGCCGAGCAGAGCCCTCCGCCTTCCCTCTCGGCCGCCCGCCTTCACCTCACGGCCGATCGCGCGGTGCGGCTGTTGCGACAGGTGGGGCTCGCGCGGCGGCCGCGCCTTGCGGCGGCCGCGCTTTACGGCGGCCGGTTGCGCTGGTGGCGGAGCTTTGGGCCCGGGCCCGCCGCCGTTCAGCAGCGGGACCTGAGGCTCCGCTTCTTTCAACCGGCCGCGGTCTAACGGAACTTCCCTCCCCCGTCCCCGACCTCCAGCTGCGGCCATGGAGAAGTACCAGGTGCTGGGCCTGGTTGGGGAAGGCAGCTACGGGGTGGTGACCAAGTGCAGAAACAAGGAGAGCGGGCAGATCGTCGCCGTCAAGAAGTTCCTGGAAAGCGAGGACGATGCGGTGGTGAGGAAGATCGCCGTGAGGGAAATCAAGCTGCTGAAGGTGAGGAAGGGGCCGGGCCCGGGGGGGGGGGGGGGCCTAGGGAGCTCTGAGGGCAGCTGGCCAGTAGTTTCCAGCGAAGTCGGACCCAAACCATGACTTTTTGATGGCTTCGTGTTTAAATTCGTAGCTCCTCGTTCAGCTGGGAGACCTTTCTGTCGCAGTACGACCTCCGCCGCGAGCCGCTGCACCGAGGTAGTTCATCCAGAGCCTGACATTTTTATTCTGAAGCCCCTGTAGTTACGACTCCAGCAACCTGCCCTGCTGCAGGCAAGGGGAGCGATGGAGCTCAGCAGCGGTGTTCCCTGCGGAGAAAGAGCAGCCCAGTGTGGGGCCAACCTCTGCCGTGCTCCAGGGGCCTCTTCTCGGCTTATTTGGAATCCTAAGCCAGGTGTTTAAATACCTTCGTGAAAGCAAATGTCTCCTTCAAGCAGAATAGCAATCTTCGTGTCTGTGGTTTGTTTTTTTTTCTTGCAGTAAAGGTGGTGGGTGTTTAGAACTGATGGGTGTGGGTGAGATCTACCTGTAGGGAGTCGATGGGTTCTTGGGAGGAAGCTGCCTCTTGAGACTGCTTGATGGTCCTTTAAGGAGTGGTGTTTATCCAGTGAAGTTGTAGGATAGGTGTAAATTTAAACCATTGGGTCAGTTTCGAAAGGGAAACACAGTTGCTGCAAACCACGATTTACAAAGTGTAACTAACAAACTCCAAACCAAAAGAGACTTGCTTGGGCCCTGTTTGTATTTCCAGGAGCAGCCAAGCCGTGGTAGATTCTTTTAGCCGTTGAGTTGTAGCCGTACAGAGCTGCATTTCCCTTTGGCTGGGTGCTGTGCTGGCTTTGCCTGGCTGAACCTGACTTGCTTAGAGTCTACTCTTGTTTATCTGCCCTCTATTCAGCAGGGAAAGGTACGAGGAAGGGAGTTACGAGCTCTTGATTGCCTCCTGGTGGTAATTCTGTCCCCCTGGGTTGTGTACCAAATTCGAGTACCTTGCTGCTGTGAATTTGCTCAAAACGAAAGAAAGGCTGAACTTTTAAAACCTGCAGCTGAGTGCGGACCTTGATGTGTTACCGTGTGCTTGACCGGACTGGGTGTCGGTGTTACCCGATATGGAAAAATGCTTCTAGGAAGGTTTTACTTTATTTTATTTTATTCATGGCACTTTCCTGGCAGGGTTGTACTGCCAGCGAGAGCCTGGAGGAGGACGACGGGTATCACATTGCCTGAACCTTATCAATCAATGGCTAGCCCCTAGGCTGAAGCCAGCTGGCATAATGTCCTTTGCTGTTTGAGTGCATGATTTGCCTGGTGTCAATTGTGGATGCTTTATACTCACCTAAATGTCCAGTCGTACTTCAGCCTGTTGGCTTCTTATCAGCAGTATTATGCGGTGTAGCCTCATTGTGTGGGTTGGTTTATTAAAGGTACTTCTCTTCATGGGCTGTAGATACTCTGTCTGGGAAAATACTCCGGAGCTTTAGATAAACAGGGGTTTTGCGTGTGTGCTCTTCAATGTTCTGTCATATGGTCTTTCTGCTTCCTCTCTTGGCTTTGTTCTACCTACAGAAGCTTTTGCAAGTTCCTAAACTTTCACCACCTGTTTTTTCTGACGCGTTTCCTTCATGACCAGGATGCCAAGGATGCAGAGTGCCATTCCATGCCAGGACAGACATCTGTTGCTCTGCTTGCTCTTTTGACCACCTTCAGCCCCTCTGTTTGCCACTGTACCCTCTAGCAGCAGTTGCAGCATTTTCCTTCCTCTCTTGTCCCACAGGTGGCATGCCCAGAAGAATGCTTGTTGCTGTGCGTGGGCACATGTGGTACTTTTTAAGTGTTGGGACACGGGTGATCTGCGTGGTGCAGAAATGGAGGAAAGTCTTATTACAGTTGGAGTGCATCTAGGCTTTTCCTCTGACGCGGGCTGTTCTGGAGGTGGGAATACATGCAAGCCTGCCTCCTCTCCTCTTGGCTACCATAAGTGTCTCTTCACAAGTCTGTGCAGTGAAGGAAAAAAAAGTCATCTCTGCCATTAGTGCAAGACCTACAGACCCTTAGAGTTAATAGAAATGTAGATGCTGGAGCTTGAGACGCAGCCAGCAGCTCCAAGCGTTGTCCCCTCAAACTCTTTGAAAGCAGATCTGTGTGAGTCTGGATTGTACCTGGTCTGTTGGCCAGGCTCGGCTTAGTTACTGAGTCAAAGCACGTACCGCTTCCCAGGTGCATTGGGAATTAACTTGTTTTCCTGGGTAAATGGGAACTTAGCAAGGGGAACATTTCCATATATAGCTCCATAAGCGCGGCCTCTCACAGTGAAAATAAATAGCTAGAGATTTAATCTTTTTCTAGTTTTTTTGTCTTCAATGCTCCCTGTGAACCTATTCTTTTTTTTTTTTTTTTTTTTTTTTTTTTTTTCTTTTTCTCCTCTTCTGGAGGAGAAGAAACTGAATCGCGGCTGTCTCCTGTGCTGGGAAGAAATTATTCTTGAGAAAAGAGCTTTTTTCAAATGGATCATCTTTTTCAAAAATCGTCACTTTTCAGACCTTCTAAGAAATCTGGGTCTTTGGCAGACCCAGGTGCAGGTTGGCTGGCTCTCCCTCCGGACCAGCAGAGCATTTTCCGTAAAAGTCCCTGTGCTCTCAGTCCTTTTGCATCTTTCTTGATCGCGATCCCTGGGCTATGGTGCTGCCTTCAGGCAGCCTCTGATGGTATTTCCCTGCTGGGCTCCAAGCTAATAAATAACTGCGCATTGTAGCATGGTCTGTTTTTCTTCAAGTGGTGTGTGATAAACCAGTGTTACAAATGTGTAACGAATTGGAGTTGATTCTTGGCTGGTCAGACTGTGATGACAAAAGAGCTAGAAAATACAGCAGCTTTTTTTTGTTTCCTCTTCGTGTAAGTTGCAGGGTTTTTTTTCTCTAAACTCTCTTCAGCTTCCCCCTCTGCGTAATATTGGAGGGAAAAAAATCTCTTCAAATCCCTGGCTTGTCAATTTTCAGTCTGAATTCAGTAGACAGTTTAATACAAGCTGTTTAATTGTTAACGCTATTATAGGTAAGAATGCTGATCTGTCCTTTTACCCATGCCTGTATTCTGGCCCGTGGCAGTTATTGTAAATGCGTATAAGCTAGCAGTGCCAACAGAAATGCTTTGCGTATGGTAGGAGCTTAAAAGAAAAGTCTTCTGTCAGCCTTACTAGAAAAAATTAAGATACAGACATGGAGTGGTTCGTGATGAACTGGCAGCTAGGTGGAACGGAGACGTATTGTGGCTGCTTTTGGTTTTCTTTTAAATGGGGGTGGAAGAGCTTTTTAAAAAGAGAACCTAGAGAAAGGAATGACAGAGAAGAGTAGAACTTTCTGGAAATGTGGGAGAAAAGAGAGGAATCGTTTCTGGATTGTTGGGAGAGGAAAAGGGTTTTCTTGAAGCGAAACATTGAGAGCTGTCTTCAGCAATCCTTTTAATCGTGTCTGGATGAGTAGCTAGTGGTGCTCCTTGTGCCTTGTCCTGAGGGAGCAGACCAGGGCAGTGCAGCGTTAATTGGTCACCTTGATGAGAATATCTCCTAAAGGAGTTTGAGTCATGGGTACAGCTCAGTGTTACAGGCTGCATTTATTGTTGCTTGAGCCGTTTGTAAGTAAATCCAGGGAACTAGCAAGGAGTCTACAGCTCACCAGTCATGGCTAAATGCCCTGTTTCTCTTGCAGTGGTCAGAGACATACTTGGCAGCGTGCTGAACTTTCCAGTACAAACCCTCCTGCTTCGTCTTTCCTGCTAGCTGGGGGACCTCTGGATTTTCCCTTGCCATGGCAAGTCTTTGTGGGAGATGCTGTTAGGTGCCTGATGTCTCTCACGTGTCAACCACACGCTCCTCTGGAATTCTTTTTGACTTTGTCAAGATTTCTCTCATGTGGAACATAAGCTTACTCTAAACCTTGTCAAGATCAGGGCATGAGTTAGTGTCACCTCTTAGGTGGGGAGCGTATTGTGAGAAGCAGAATGTGTGAGATATTCCAACAACAGAACACTGTATTTTGAGCATCCCCATTAAGAAGGAATGTCCTTATTCAGTGTTTTATTTATTTTTAGGTTGCAAAAATTGATGTCTACATGTATGAGGTGGTGGAAATCATCCAATAATGTTAAAAAAAAATATAAAATTGGCAAAATAAAACCTATTCTAAAATATCAGTGAGCTGATTTTAAAAATAAATGAATGGGGGTGCCATGACAAGAAGAGCATTCCAGAGCAGTGCACCGGCTGGGTTGCAGTTAAAAGTATTTGGTCGCAGTTTACCCATTATATGCTGTCAAGCTCTCACAAAATATTCCCTGTTTTATAACAGCAACTCAGGCATGAGAATCTCGTGAACCTGCTGGAAGTGTGCAAAAAGAAGAAACGGTGGTATCTGGTGTTTGAATTTGTGGATCACACGGTGCTTGATGACCTTGAGGCATTTCCAAACGGACTAGACTACAGCAGGGTTCGGAAATACTTATTTCAGATTATGAGAGGAATTGCGTTTTGTCACAGTCATAATGTAAGTATGCACAAGAAGACAGCTCCGCGGTTAACCTTGAATGAATACGTGCAGAAGCTTATATTTTTGATATATATCAAAACTTAGAGAAATCAAGCCTTGGCTGAAAAGGAAGCGGTGGGGCAGAAGGGACGGACTGAATTTCACATAAAATGCCAGAGCTTGATGTCAGCTAATCCGGTAGTCTGTCTTTGATGGATTTGTGAGAGTATTTGAAAGGAAGGGTCCAGAAGTCCGTGGGGATCCAGTACTTGGTGGCCCCTTTTTGTAGGTTGGCTTATCTTGCAAGGGGAGTTTCTTTTGAAAAAGTTTGATTCTGATAGTGCCTATGTAAACATGGAGGCTTGCTTTTTCTGTTCTGTATTTTTAGGTTTTTGTTCTCAACTGATTTCTAACAGGTTTGCCAGTTTAATCCTAGTTGTGTGGCTACATATACAAACATACACACATTTATTTATTTATTTATTATGTTTTGGAAACTGTATCTCTCGTGAATTCTTAAAATACTCTTCACATTTAACTGCAGGACATGCCCACGGCCCTTGCAGTACTTACAGCTTTTATACTTGTGGTCAAGGCCAGATTTTCAAGCATAATAAATTCTGCCTGTTAAAATATCTATAGTATATACACCTGCAGAACATAAGCAGAGAGAGACATAAAATAAACGCTTCTGTGTGCAAAAATTAGAGGTTCTGTGTTTACCTGCGCGCTGGGCTTGGAACTTGTTCATTGACTGTGTGCATGTCTGTCTTTTACAGACTCTGTATGTTTCCCATGCCTGCAAAAATGTAATCTACCTGTATGTGAGAAAGCTACTAGTTTTGGTGAGCTGGTCATGGGGAATTTATTTGTCTTGACTTTCTTTTCTCTCTGCAGATAATACATCGGGACATTAAGCCAGAGAACATACTAGTTTCCCAGTCGGGAGTTGTAAAACTATGTGATTTTGGATTTGCCCGTACTTTAGCAGCTTCGGGAGAAGCTTACACAGACTACGTGGCAACCCGATGGTACAGAGCTCCAGAGCTGCTGGTGGGAGATACCAAGTATGGCAAGTAAGACTGGCATGCGAGGCGGCAGGAGGGTTGTGGGCTTATGTGGAGGGGGGTGCTCTGTGTTTTGGGGAGGCGGGGGACTATTCCTTGGCAAACAGGTTAAAGCGATGCTGTTCAGCATTCCCTGATTATTCATTTGTAAAGGTTTAAGCTTTCCTCTTCTCTCTCCCACTCTGCAACTAACTACTGCCAGTGCTAGGCTTTCCTGGCTTAAAAGGAGAGGAGAGCCCTTACCATCCCTGGTCTCTGGTCTGTAGGAGCTTTTCAGTTGCCAATGCTAGTATTGGAGGAGGCTATGATTAGACTTCCCTCCTGTGCAGTTGGAGTCATGTAGGGAGGACAGAAAAGTCTCTTCAGACAATTCTAGATGCACATTTCAGGAGGGAGGAGGTAGGAGGAATGAGTTTTTTCTTACTGGCATCCCCAGTACTGCAAAACCAGGTCAGAACTTAAACCGTGGTATTCACAGGTCTGTTAGTACAATTGGGCGGGTTTATGTATGTCCCTGTATTACTTACACTTAATTTTCAGTAAATGTGTCTGAAGAGCGGATACCTGCAGAAAGAGGAGCTGCTTACCTCTGTGTTCTCTAAAGCGCAAGATTCTACTAATGTGTTATGTTGTATTAGTATTTTTAAAGCATGGGGTTTTGGAACCTGATTGTACATTGTCAGGCTTCTGCTAGCATTTGCCTGCTTCAAGAGCTGAATCCTTGCTATTCATCAGAGCAGTTGTAAGCCTGGAAAACAGCTGCCTTGGTGGTTAGGGGGGCAAAGCTGCCCTCGGTGCTTGTAACCTGCTGAAGACGTGCTGTGCGCTGGCCTGGCTCAGCCTTTAGATCAGAGAGATGAATGAAGCCGTGCTGAGCTGGGGTGTGGGTTGTTGTTTGTTTGTTTTTTTTTTTCCAGGGCTGTGGATGTGTGGGCTATCGGCGCTCTGATAACAGAAATGCTTACAGGAGAGCCCCTCTTCCCTGGAGACTCAGATATTGACCAGCTCTACCATATCACCAAGTGCCTGGGTAAGAACAGCCTGTTGGGCTCCTAGTGCCTGCTTAGTAATGGAGGGGTCAAATACTTTTTGACAGGGCGAGTAGTAGGCTGTGGAGAGAAAGGCTGCGGTGTGTGCTGAACTATTTCTGAGAGCGTGTACTCCTAGCGCCTGTTACAAAGGAGGAGCTTGTGAGAACAGCATAAATGCACAGCGCACAGGTGGAAACAGAACGACCCAGACCGTAGCCCTTAACGGTAGTTCTGACCCAGAATTTCAGCCTCTCAAATGTTTCATGGGACTGTTCTGTATTTCTTCCATGTGGTTGCTTTGTTTGTGTGATTCCAGGTAACTTAATTCCAAGACACCAAGAGTTATTCTATAAAAATCCCCTATTTGCTGGCATGAGGTTGCCTGAAGTGAAGGAGGCCGAATCTCTGGACAAACGATATCCCAAGCTCTCTGCTGCGGTGTTAGATTTGGCCAAGGTAATTAACTGGTCATTTACTATGAACATTTCTCTGTTTACTCGTCCTTCACCTTGGGGAGCTGAGTAAAGCCTACAGAAAGGGCTGGGGCTCTTAAACTGGCATTCTCCCAACTACCCATGCAATGAGCAACTGCTTGGGTTGGTAGTTTGGTGAGGACTGCAGGGATACGACAGCTGCCATCCTGGGTGACAGGGGAGACTCAGCCAGTCATCCCCAGAGCCAAAATGATCACTGCATATTCCCCAGGGAAGATTTGTAGCATATAGTGCCCCGCTCATTAAGTTTTCCAAGGAGATTTGAAAAGTGAAGAAGAGCTTGTGTGTTGAAAGCATCCGCCATACACCTCACTGCATCATTTGAGGTTTTGAAAGGTCTCCCAACAAGCTTTGCCCCTCACCTGCTACCTAAGTGGATGCTTTGTAGATAATACGCAGCCCCTTACTGCTTCCTCTCGAGCAGAGCTGTGTGGATGTGGTGTTTTCTGCCAAACCTCCCTGTACCTGCTGATGGAGGCACTGCAAGCAAGTAGGTTTGGATGGGATGGCATCCAAACGTGTCCCTTGCCCTTGGAGCTACGTGTTTACGATGTGGGAGTTAGGAAGCCTACAGCTTTTTAATAGATTTTGAAGAATCCTTCCAGGGAGTGTTTTTGTGCATTCACACAGGAGCAGCAGTATGTTGGGTAACTAAAACAACCTGAAAACCACATGGTTGTATTTGAAATGCCCAATGATCAAAACAGTTTCTAAAGCCTTAGCCAAACAAACTGAAACCAAGGGAGGTTTACTGAGAGCGGAGTGATCTATCTGTGTGACAGGTATTCCCTGTGCAAGGAGTCTTTGAGCGTTAGCGATTGGAATGGAAGCAGCCAGCAAACATTAGACTTTTTTGGTAGTGGTGTCCCTTGGGCCCATCTCAATATAACAGGCCCTACAAGGGGGAGTTTTGCAGCTTTTTTTCTTGACTTCACTCGAAAATGCTAAAGCCTTTGTTTCATTTCTAATGTATTTGCCTTTTAACGTTTCCGTTGATTTGACAGAAATGTTTGCAGATTGATCCAGACAAAAGACCATCCTGTGCTGAACTCTTGCAGTGCGATTTCTTTAACAAGGATGGATTTGCTGAAAGGTAAACAGTTCGTTCCTTGCTTAAAGCAGGCTAATATTAGAAGGAAGTTAAGCAGTTGTGCTTGAAGATCGCATGCTGGGTTTGCAGAGCTGGCAGCCACTGAATGTCTTGGGTTTTGTTTGGTTTTAGCCTTCCTGGAAATAGAACAGTTGAAAGGGAACGCATTGCGGCGGCGTGTTTGCCTCGTTAACTTGTCGTGACACTTAATTCATCAGCGTGCGCACCCAGTGTCACACCGTATTGGGTAGTATAGTCTCACACTGTATTTGCTGTCAGCACCTACACCAGACTGGGATACAAACGTCTTTATTGCTGAAATGTGAAAAGCGTGCGCTTGTAGGATTTTATTTATTTTAATGGATGCATCATATTTGGCTGGCTTCTCTTTAGTTAAAAAGGCATGGTTTGTTTGAGTACTTAAAAGGCTATAGGAACCCGGGCTGAACACCAACTAATGATGATATTGAGATTAACAGAAAACCCTTTTTCTTTTTTTTTTTTTTTTCTTTTCTCTTCCTTATATGGAATGTAGATTTGCTCAGGAGCTTAAATTAAAGATTCAGAAAGATGCCAGAGACCATCAGTTACAAAAAAAATCAAAAATCAGCAAAAGGGACAAAGATGATCTTTTAGAAGAAAGAAAAATGCTTGGTATCCAGGTTGGTCCGTCTTTGTTTTCCAAACCTGTATTATTTTTTTTCATGTTTTAACATCACTATATGTGCAGCAGTTTAATTTCATAGCAAAAAAAAAAAAAAGCATAATTGTCCATTTCATTTTTAAAAAAAAAAAGACTAGGTAAGTGTGATGTGCCAGTGAAGTTCACATTTGGAGGCCACGGTGAGTCTTAAACAGCGCTGAAGACCTTGTGACCCGATTCAAGGCAGTACGTTAGGCCGGTGTGCCCACAGCTCTGACACGCAGTGCCATACAACCTGCAGGCTGATGTGTAGGAGTTCTGTGCCTTTTGATTCTAGCCGTTTGGCCACTGCAAGGTTGTTCTAGTGCTCGGCTTGGCGGTCTGCAAATGGCTATTTGGCCAGTCCTTTGCAGGTAAACTACATCGTGATGCAGTTACTGGCAAATACGGCGCTGAAGGAAGAATGGATTAGGAAGCGTAACTCATGTTGAATCACGAAAACGTGCTTGTATGCTGTTGTTTACCTGTGTTAAAGCCCTCTCTCCAAAATTACATATTTTACTTTTGATCAGATACTAAGCAGTAGAGGCTTCAGAGTGACTTTGAGGTGACATTTGGCTCAGTTCTTACTTAATTTCTTTGGAAGTGACACAGGATGCGGCTGTTCTTCCTCCATCATTTTCAATCCCATTCGAAGGTGACTTATTTACAGAGGGGGCTGGAAGCCTGATGAGTCTCCTCCCGCTTGATGGAAAACAGAGGTTTTCTACTAAAACCCATTCCATCTCTATCAGATCCTTGCGGAATCCTGCAGGTTTAGGCTTTGACTCTTTTCCCCAGACGCGCTGCTCTAAGCTACTTTTTAAACGTGGCTGTAAGAGAAAGACAATGTTTATCTGCCCAAACAGGATTTCAGCATTGACCCGAAGAGCAGAGATACAAAGCTATTAAAGGCGAAGCGCTCGAAAGCTGATGCAGAGAAAGCAAACCGATCCTCCAACCTGAGCTCCCTCTACGACAGTGCGATCAACCCCTTTAAAATAAGCCCTCACACCAGCCTAAAAGATTCCAGCAGCAGCTTGGACTATGCCAAGAATGCAGGCATAGTTATTCCTCCCATCAACCAGAACCTTTCTCCCACTACGGTGGGGATAGGGCCTGTGCCTGGAAACCTTAATTACAGGTAAGGAAACAGAACTCGAAGAGCCTGTATCCATCGTCCCTGTTGCCGAGGAGCTGTAATATCCCGAGAGAGGGGCAGGGCGATGATGTGGGAACGCGGGATGTGGGTTCGGGACAGGACACGGCTAGGAACAGCGCTTGGGTGAAGCGTTGTATGTGGATAAGAAGGCCCGGCTTCACCTGGAGCGGCTGTGCGTGTCCACACAGGCACGGGGTCCCTGTCTATCTGCATTTGGCGGAGCGCTACTGGACAGCAGGAGTTTGCCAGCTGCTGTGACACTGGCCTTTCTGTGATTCATGGCTTGTCCTTTAGTCCCAACTTCTCTATTAACTGAGCTCACAAAGGGTATTCTCCCCGTGAGCCCTCTTTCTAAGCATTTAATGGCAGTGTTTCTGGGAGTCTTGCATTTGTTGTTTTGACATCCACCGTGTTACCCCAGTTAAAAGTGTGGGGCATTTTTGATTACAGAGTTGATGAGAAGAGTAAAAAATACTTGAACCCCTTCCTAAAGCAACGGAAGCATTCTCCAGCGGGCCATTACAGCGTAAGCTTGACATCGGTAAGTCGTCTGTCTTTTCCCCTTGGCAAAGCAAAAATAAATTCTGAACTCAAGCAGGTGTTGTATTGTCAAGAATCCCATGTTTTGCAGCCTTCACCATAATTCCCAAGTAGAAATATTATTTTCTTTACCCCTTTTCTCCTACAGGCGTGTTGTCTGTTATCCTTTGCTACCAGTTATCTTATATGAAACATATTTTGTGTCAGAGGACAATTTAAAATGAGGGGAGCAGTCCATCATAGCGTATCTGTAAGACTTGGAATATATCCACGGCCTCCTGCCCGGCCAGGAAAAGTAGACCACGTGTACTGTGCTGCTGAAGCAGAATTGAGGATTTGGATTTAACATGGTCAGGGCCTTATTTAGTTGTGTCATAAACGCATTAAAAATTGATAATGAAAACAAGTGAAATGGAATGCTTTCCACTGCGCTCACTGCCTAGGCAATATTCT